GATAGTTCCAGACAAGTCGATATAGAAGACTAACTAAAAATTGCAGTTAAATCGATCCAGTAGAACTTGAGAAAGCGTGGGTACCGTTTTAAAACAGACAGTTTCGCGTTTCGAAACGCGTTTAAAGTTTCAGTTCCGACCGAACCAGTTTAGATGCCAGTTCAGTAAAACAGCTATATATATCTCCGAAAATAATTTGATTTTTGAAAATAAAAATCTTGTAGACATATTCTTGAATAGTTAAACTTTGAATATATAAATTTTTTTTATATCTAGACTGGAATAACCCCTTAAGAGGTAAAAGCAAAATGACGCTTCAGAAGCCTTAAAGCTAAATTTAAAAAAAACAAGTAAGGAAGGGCTAAGTTCGGATGTAACCGAACATTTTATACTCTCGCAAAGTCAAATAGTATACTCGTTTGAGATTTCTTTGTGGATTGACTGATATTTTCGGTAGAAGGTCAACTATAGGCAATGGGCCACATATTTAGTACTTAGGGTTGAACAGTTTTGGTTCGATTTAGAAATTTTTGGCCCAAGGTGGCATACTTAATGCATTATTCACGCAAAGTTTTACCCGATATACATCATAGTTCCTGATTTGCATAGTGGAAAGTGAAAGAATCAGATGGAATTTAAAATGGTGTTATATGGAATAGCGTGGTTGTAGTCCGATTTCGCCCATTTCGCACTATGACATAGAAAATGAAAGAACGTTATGCACTGAATTTGGTTGAAATCGGTTGAGCAGATCTCAAATATGGGTTTTCACCTAAAAGTGGGCTGTGCCACACCCTGCTAATTTTGAACGCGGTTCCTATAAAGCCAATTTATACCATCTCAGAGATAAAATTTAATGTCTCTGGCGTGTTTAGTGCTTGATTTATCGCGCTTTTAGTAGTTTTTAACAGTACCGTTATATGGGGAGTGGGCGGAGTTGCCACCGATTTCAACTATTTTCACACCGTCAATAGAAGTGCTAAAACATTTGCTTAGTGAATTTGTTATTATAGCATTAGCGGTTAGGAGATATGCACATTAAACCTATTAGAGGCGGGACCACGCCCACTTTTTAAAAAGTTTTAACTGCAGTGCCCCTCTAATGTATCCTGTGTACCAAATAAAGTCTTGTATCTTATTGCGGAGCTTAGTTATGGCAAGTTATTTGTTTTGATTAATGGCGTTTTGTGGGCGTGGCAGTGGTCCGATTACGCCCATCTGCAATACCAACCGTCTCACGGTACCAAGAAACATTCTACCAAGTTTCATAAAGATATCTCAATTTTACTCAAGTTAGAGCTTGCGACGACGCGACGGACGGACGGACGGACGGACGAGCACAGTCACCCGGATTTCAACTCGTCTCTTTCCTGATCATTTATATATTATAACCTATATCTAACTCGATTAGTTTTAGGTGATACAAACAACCGTTAGGTGACAAAACTATTATACTCTGTAGCAACAGGTTGCGAGAGTATAAAAAGAAATAAGGAAGGAAAATAAAGGAAGTATTATTTTTGAACAAGATACTAAAAATACTATATTTAAAACAAAAATTGCTTTTCGAATTTTATTGTATATTACATATGAAATATAAACATTTTTTAACTCTAAAAAGAAAACTTTGTACAAACATTTAAAATTAAAATAAAATAACCATATATACCAGTAAAATATTTATAAAAAAAAAATTATTTATAAAATTTTTACAATAATCAATTTGTATATACAAAATTACTCGTAGGAAGTTAAATGCATTTTATATAACAAAAAAAAAAAAAAACTAGTGTAAATAATGTTATTTTAAATTACTAAAAATATTTAAAGTAGACGTGCTTAATTTGATCGTGGATAAATTATACTATTCTGATATTGCATGATTTTTAACATATTATTATTATGTTTTAAAACGTTTCTGAAAATTTGAATCTTAAACGAAATAAATATAAAAATATTGAAATCTAATTTGAAAAAAAAACATTTTTGTTTCATAACAATTTTTGCAAGTTAGATAAATTTCTCGAAAATAATTTTTTATAGAACACGCAAAATATTTTTTCATTATTTATTATTATAAAAATATTGAATTTCTTACAAATTCAAAACTAAAACACTTTTTATATTTTCATACCCACCTTAATTCATATATACATTAAAATAATTTCTACACAAACGTCTTATTGCAGAAAAAAGCACATAAGTCCACAAATAAACTTGTAGCATTCAAGTGCGTCGCATTGAAATGGAAAATGCACACCCACACCCATTTCTTTCTATTTATATAACCACAATGCATATTTTGCAACAAATGATGCGGAATCTCGATAGCTAAGTGCATAGCAACAAAAGTCACAAAGTCGATATACCCATCTGAGTAGTAGAGGCAAGGGTTTGGCAGGGGGCTAACAGCAACGGCAAATAAGTGCAAAAAACATCCTGTTGTCGACGCAAAAGTTGGCGCCAGCAGTCGAAAAACGAAATACTCGCTCACCAAAGAGCCCTGAAGGCATTATTAACGAGCGTGACGGAATTACACCCATAACCATTGAAAAAGGAAATCTCTAAAACATTTACAAAACATATAAATAAAAGAATATTTAAATGCGCATAGAGCAGAAAGCGGAGAGAGTACAACAAAGTAGAAAAAAAATATGAGTAGTGAATTATGAGCTTGCGCTCGTGATATGGGCGACGCCAGGCAGTTGCTGGCGTAAGAAAATTTAAGTTATCAGAGGCACAGAAGAATGTTACAAATGTATACATATATTTATATATAGATACATGCTTGTATGCTTTGAGAGTCAACATATCGAAATTTGAAACGTGACTTTGGCCTTCGGCATTTTTCACAAATGTCAAAAATTAATTGACAGATATATCACTCGTCGGTCACACATATTTATGCTATCGCAAATTAGTTAAATTTCAGCTGTTTTGCCTTGTGAATGGGGATATCATTAATTGTAGCATATGAATATGTAGTATATATAATATATGTACTATATTACGTACAGTACATGTATTAGGGTGATCCAGAAAACCAAATACCAAATTCAAAACACTTACATGATTTTGTTCTCCTTTCAGCTTTGCCGCCGACATATTGCAACGCATGCCAAACGATATCATGAAGCCAACACAAGCCATCACGGCAATCGTGTAACGCGCCGGCAAGCAAGGACACTCGGCTTTGCAGTACTTATCGATTTTACGTAATGGCGGGCGTTCGATCTCCTCGAAAGAGGCTGGCGAATCGGGTCTATCATCATCGTATGGTATGCCGCCGCCGGGGCCGTCGCCGATCTTATCGCCGTCCTCCATCTCTTCGTAACCACCATAGCCGCCATGATAGTTTTTGGAGATCTCAAATTTTTCAATATTCGGTTTGATGCTGAAAGAGAGGAGCAGAAATAAAAATAAGTGATGGGGTGAGTGAGATTTAGTCAATTGGTTACTTTTTTTTTAGTATTTTATATTTATAATATATAATGCAATATCTAAGAAGCATTTATGACTATGAAGTGTTGAAGATAAAAATCAGTGAAATGCAATAATATTTATTGCACAGCATCTTTCCAATTTTTTTTTTTCCAATTTCTATGATACCTTGATTATGACATTCGCATGACAACAAACATGCTGACCATTCCCTGGGGTCATATAAATTACATCTTAATGGCCAAGTGGTCATAGAATGCAACGTGAAGCCACAAAAATACCTGTTGATTGGAAGCTTTCAATATAATTGAGCAATAAAATCTGAGAAATGCGAAGGCGTGCATAGAAAAAGCATCACAAACATACACAGACACAATCTCATATACTAGCACACACACTCACACACTTATATGTACTACACGAAGGTACACCGCACGGCGTACAAGGATTTACCGTTGAAATGTGTGATACCGGCAATCAGCGGTAAATACGAGTGTTGTCACCCCAACAAACATTAACAACAACAACAAAATTTTGCCGCAGCGCTGAGTGAAGGCGAAGGCAAACCAAACCAAACTCCCAAAGGAGCTGACAGCAGCCAACAACCAGCAAATAAGTGCGAGAGCGTGAATTTGTTGCAATGATACAAACTGTAGATTGCTGTATACTGAAAGGGTGCTGTTGTTGTTTTGCTGCTCTTAACACGCTTGTTTGTATATAATGTTTGCTAAAAGCTGAGACAGACGTGTCCAATTGAAATGAAATTCAATTTTATTAAGTGCGTATCAATAGTTACTAGATGACAGTGGTTGTTGTTGTTGTTGTTTTGGGTGTTTTGTTGTTTGTAATAGTAAACATTTGTGTTCTGAACTCACGTTAGTTTATGGGGTTAAGGTGGTATGCGTTAAGTTCAGACCTATTCGGAAAATATTCGGTAAATTTAGGAAGAGGAATATCAATAGTTTCATTATAATCTAGCTATACATCTGCAAAAGTTCGGCATAAAATTCTTGAATAAAACATTCATCCGATATGACAAAATTAGAAATATGAATCTCCAAAAAATAGTAATATGTGGAGCCGGCATCAATTGAAAAGCAAAGATAACACTTTTTAAAATGGTGGAAACAAACAAAGAGAGAGTTAATGTCATGAAAAGGAAGTATGCGGTACAAAGATAGCTGACAAGAAGATATTACTGCTGTATTTGCCTATAATTTTCACTCTAAATATATGGAAAATATTTTAAAGTATAAATTTTCGAAAAACTGGTTCAAAAATGTATAGGATAGTTCTTGTCAATGCTTAGCTAAGTCAAGCACCTCGGGCTCCAAAGCTTTTCGACTAAATTTAATGGAGCGGTATTTTAGTTCAATCTTAGTGTTCTCAGCAAATGACGTAATTGAAACGGGCTGTAAATGTTGCACAACTCTTTATTCAAATTTATTTTCTCTGTTAGTATGTTAGCCTAGGTATAGGTATAACTTATCGAAAAATTAAAAAAATCATTTTTCTTATTTTGCAAACCAGCTGTGCCGCTTAAGTCTCTTTTTTTGATGTAAGATAATTAATTAGCATAATTAATTCTAGTCCATTCTACGGCAGCGCAATTTGATTACTTATTAACTATCATAAATACTAGAAAACTTAAAGTTTCGCTCAAAGATCTGATTTAGTCCTATGAACTTCAATTTTTAACTTACCTTACGGTTATAAAGGAAAAATATTCTAGTTTCATTTCGCTTACTCAGTTACTTTTATACGCTGCTCTCGCAGTTTGAAGCCATCGTGGGTAAACTCAATTAACAACACAAAAGCTCGTTGTCATAACAACAACACAAATAATCTTGTTTTCGCCGCCATTTGAAGTGCTTCAATTGGCTTTTGTACTTTTCCAACGATTTACTGCCAATTATTTGGGTATTTATGAGTAAACGGCATAAACTGCAGTCACACCGCAGTAGCCAAGCCGAGTTGCTAGGGTCGAATTTTTCAAAGCAAAAGATGTGTAAAATTGCATACCTTGCTTAGATCACCGAGTTGACAAATAAACTGGCTGCGCAGAAGCCCTACTAATTGCCTGGAAGAATGCGCTTAGTCAACAAAATACAAAAAAAAACATGGAAAAAAATAAAAAAAATTGTTTTTGGAAAAATAAAAAAAAATTTTGTTTTGTTTTTTGGCAAAATAAATTATACCCTCATCCTCAAACTATGCAAGTTTTTCCTTCAAGCACAACCGCATCGTCACATCAGTAGAATATGAAGAGTAATATTGGCACACATTTTACTGTCAACCAAAAGAGAAAAACAAAATAACGAAAACACACACATTCACATATAAATGACCAGCAATATCGTGCTTTAGCCACTAATCAACCCACTTACAAGCCACTGGTCGCCCGAGTTCTACTGCTTAAATGCCACAGCTACCCAACGCTTTCTTATTCCCCTATCTATCGCATTGTCCCCTTGCAAATATTTGTCAGTTGCCTCATAATTCAAATATCTGCCATTTTTCTCTGCCACACACATACACACACAGTTATTATTCTCTACCTAGCTTGCTTGTTAATGCGCTTGTTTTCGTATTTCTAAGTAGTTCGTTTGCCAAATTCTGACAGCAAGTACATTGCTTGTCCTGAACTCACACACCCAGACGCACTAAATAGATATAAATATAATATGTTTTTTTTTTTTGCAACATTTTTGTTCGCTTTTTCTCAATCGCTATAAATTTCGTGTCTATTTTTATGTATGTGTGCTGTAGTTGCCCTTTAATGTCAGCCAGTTAGTCTGACGCCAATTTTATTTCCTATCTCCACCAGATATTTTATCTCTGAATGATTGTTATGTTATGGTCGCATATTCTGCTTGGTTTATTATGGCGCGCATATCCTTGCCGCTACAGTAAAAATTTTGCAGACTTTTAGGCGTCCAATAGATTAAAAGTAGTGGCGCCAGCTTTTTTGAGATTTTGGAGCATACAGCGAGTGTTTGTCTGTGGTGGCAGTGACGTGACTGGATTTGTGGCGCTGGCTGCTGCTGCATCAAGCAGAGCGGATTTGGGGTGTTATGTAGTTTCTGTGGAGTTTGTTTTTCTTTAGATATCTACATTTGGTAATACAGCGGCAGTTTGTGGCGATTAATGCGGCAGCTATTTAAATTGTCTATCAAAAACTTTATTTATTGAAATTAAGGAACAGAATTAAGTTCACAGTTGGGAAATAAAAATATTATTCCATATCCATTATTTTTGCATTAAATTCCAGGCTTCAAGTTTTAGCATAGCTAGAATGATCCGATTCTGATTTGAATCCATATGTGTTGCTATTTGGAAGCTAATTTCAGAATGCCACTCTCATAGAAACCCTCGTTCCTATTAGCAAAAAACTGAGATAGTCGATTTTCACAAGCCTCTCTTGAGCCGAAACCAGCACCAGCAAAATATTTCGCCTTAGGCAGAAACAGGTATTAATCTACTGGTGTCAGGACTAAAGCGCGGGTACATAAGAACCTCACAACCAAACTCCCGACGCTTCTGGCGAGTCACTATTGATGTGTCTAGCTTGGCGTTGTCCTAATGGAACACAATTTCGCCTATATTGGGCAAAGTTGGCCGCTTCTGACAGTTGCTTTCTTCAAGTGGTTCAATTCTTGAGTTTACAGGTCCGAATAAAGGTTTGACCTTAAGGGAGCAGCTCATATAAGATAATTCCCCCCAAATCCCACCAAAAACATAGCAAAAGCTTCCTAACCTTCAATCCAGGCGTAGCCAGAGCTTGCGCTGGCTTACCACGTTTCAACCACGACCATTTTCGTTTGATGTTATGGTAAGTGACCCACTTTCCAACACCAGAAACCGTCCATTTCAAAAATGGATTGATTTCGTTGCAATTAAACAGTGATTCCCTGATGGAAATTCGGTTCAATAGGTCTTTTTGCGTGAATTCGCATGACACCAATACATCCAATTTCTTTTTGTATCCAACCTTTTTCAAATGATTCCAAAGGGTTTTTCATATCATTTTTAGCTTGTGGGTAATCGAAACTTAAAGTTTAGTTGATTATCTTGTATATTATTTATGTAAAAAAAACCGTTATTTATGGCCGTATATTGAACATATTCACTAGATTAACTGGTTACCCCTTTAATTATGGGTCTGCCCAACAGAGATTAAAAAAAAAATATTTTTCCATAAAATTGTGTGTAATTCATTATAACGTGGAAGTTCGATTTAAAATATCTCTAAGTAGAAGTTCTGTTGTATCTATGTGTGACAATACAACAACATAACAACGCTTAATAAATTTCCATGCAAGAGACTACATCACACACACTGGCAACGCTGCCAAGTTTACTGCCATACAAGATGCACTAGTGTTGGAGACACAATGCTTCATTCCTTCATTTCATAGAGATGAATATAAAGACGCACATTAAGAAACCATTAAGATGAAAGTGTTGTGTAGTGGCATTGTGAATGAGCAAAGCAATTTCAATTACAATGCCAACAAATGGAGTGGGCGATAGGCAAGTGGCATGCCGCGGGTGGCAATGAATATGACATTCGGTTTGGCGTAAAATTTCTGCGGCTATCAATTGCCAATGCGTTGCCAACGAGGCACTTGAAGAAGTACAACAAAAGCAGCTGAAGCTGAAGACGATGACGAAGAGATGAAGAAGCAGAGGTAAGCGAATGAGTGCGGAAGAGAATGGAAAAGACTTTGTGCGTCATCAAGATGCCCATGCGGTGTACATGTATGCGTGTGTGTGAAGGCTGAGACTAAAACACGCGAATGAAAGTGAAATGGAAAGTAAATTTGAACAACAAAAACAACAAAGCAACTTATCAAAAACATTTAAATGAATCGAATAGCGGTTTATTGTGATGCGATGTATGTGTGTATATGTAGATATGTGTATGGTATATGTACATATTTATTGTATATA